AAAAGTGAACAGAAATGGCACTCTGTACACCAAACAACACATGTTACTAGCCTACGCCGATGACATCGACATAATGGGTCAAACATTGAGAGCGGTAACAAACACCCTTTAAACAAATTCAGAAGGAGTCTGCCAAAGTGGGTCTGGCAGTAAACGGCGAGAAGACCAAGCTGACTGTATCAACGCGCAAGACTTCCAGTAGACTCGGACCAACTGTGGAACTTGAGAACTACAGCTTCGAGGTAGTCAAAGATTTTATATACCTTGGTACCGCCATAAACAAAACGAATGACATCAGTTTTGAAATTCGGAGAAGGCTAGTGATGGCCAACCGATGCTACTATGGTCTGAGCAAACAACTCAAAAGCATGACCACCTCCTGCCAGACCAAACTCACACTCTACAAGACGCTGATACTACTCGTAAACGTCGAGAAGACCAAGCTGACTGTATCAACGCGCAAGACTTCCAGTAGACTTCGAGGTAGTCAAAGATTTTATATACCTTGGTACCGCCATAAACAAAACGAATGACATCAGTTTTGAAATTCGGAGAAGGCTAGTGATGGCCAACCGATGCTACTATGGTCTGAGCAAACAACTCAAAAGCATGACCACCTCCTGCCAGACCAAACTCACACTCTACAAGACGCTGATACTACTCGTGCTCTTATATGGATCTGAAGCATGGGTTCTTACGCAAGCAGATGAGGCAGCTCTTGTGTTTGAGAAAAAAATTATCCGAAAGATCTATGGGCCGACCTGCGTTGACTGTGGTGAATATTGCCGTCGAATGAACCATGATTTGTACCAGTTATTCCCGGACATCGACATTGTTAGATGTATTGAGCTGCAGCGACTATGTTGGTTAGGTCATGTTGTGATAGTGAATGAAGATGTCCCCGCGCAGAAGGCATATTAAAGCGAACCAGCTGATGGTTCACGCAGAAGGGGGAGGCCACGAATACGATGGAAAGATCAAGTCGAAGACAATATTGCCGAAAATGGTGTATCAAATTGGAAAAACTGCACAAAAGACCGACGCGCCTGGAAATCTTTTCTAAGCTCGGCTCAACTGGAACGAAAGGTCTGTCACAAGTCAGCTAAGTAAGTAAGTATATGTTTTCATGTATTTGTAAATAATATTTTAATTTAATATAATCTTTATTTAAATTTCCCCCTCTCCCCCTTCTAAAAATCCATAAATAGCAGACATTTCATATATTTTCTGCTGCAAAAAATAAGCTGCTACTTTCAGTTTTGGCAAAAAAAAAAAAAATAAATAAATATCTGTCAAATACACGTTAAATATAAAGACCCTTTTCAAAATAAAAATGGTTATGAAATATCTTTTTTCCCCAAAAAATATTATCCCCACTACCAAAAAGATGTCACATAGAGCTAACCTACCCTAAAACTTGCAAAATCCCCCTCAAGACAACATAAATCACATCAATCGCATACAGTTTCACTGTTGCCATCAGATTTAAAGATTTACAAGGGGGGTAGGAATTGGAGGTGGTGGTGTTGGTGCTGCTGCCGAACCCTGAGTGTATTTGTTTTTCTTATTTCTGCTTCAATGGACAATTCAAGGATAAATGCAATGAAATGAAAAATACAAAGAAAACCAGTAAGGAAAGTAGTAAAGTCAGACGGGGCCGACTATATGATACCCTTCACCACTATGGGTATATTAAACAAGACTATTAAAAATTGATGAAATAAAATATGTGATATTTATCTAAATATGAATCTAACTAGATCTATCCATAAAGTATGTAAATCGACTTCAAACAAATATAAATAGGTCATCCGTTGGGCTATGTCTGTACTTCTAGAAAACGCAACTACGTAATTCTATGTTCAATTTTTTAAGTTGTGCAAACTTTGATGTCAATCTGACTAACATGAGGAGTTTGATGCCCAATTTACTTGAAATCGGGCGAAAATATGTATGGAAGCTCTATTCAAATATTAAGCGATTTCAAACAAACTTATCACAGGTTAGGTTATACTAATTTCAGAACGTTGTGTTCCTATCAGCTTATTGGATCCTTGCTGCGTCAATTACTTATAATCAATCTATAATAAAAGGGAGCTATATCTAAATCTGGACCGATTTTCAGTACGTTATGCCAAATTTCGTGCAAATCGAAAGATATATAGGGACTTTGGTGCACCATTTACATGAAATCGGACGAAACTATATATGGGAGCTATATAGAAATCTGGACCGGTTTTCTCGAAACTTGGCAGACATTCATTCTAGACTAAATTCAGTACGTTATGCCAAATTTCGTGCAAATCGAAAGATATATAGAGACTTTGGTGAATCATTTACATGAAATCGGACGAAACTATATATGGGAGCTATATAGAAATCTGGACCGATTTGCTCGAAACTTGGCAGATATCATTCTAGGCTCAATTCAGTACGTTATGCCAAATTTCGTGCAAATCGAAAGATATATAGCGACTTTGGTGCACCATTTACATGAAATCGGACGAAACTATATATAGGAGCTATATATAAATCTGGACCGATTTTCTCGAAACTTGGCAGATATCATTCTAGGCTCAATTCAGTACGTTATGCCAAATTTCGTGCAAATCGAAAGATATATAGCGACTTTGGTGCATCATTTACATGAAATCGGACGAAACTATATATGGGAGCTATATAGAAATCTGAACCGATTTTCTCGAAACTTGGCAGACATCTTTCTAGGCTCAATTCAGTACGTTATGCCAAATTTCGTGCAAATCGAAAGATATATAGGGACTTTGGTGCACCATTTACATGAAATCGGACGAAACTATATATAGGAGCTATATATAAATCTGGACCGATTTTCTCGAAACTTGGCAGATATCATTCTAGGCTCAATTCAGTACGTTATGCCAAATTTCGTGCAAATCGAAAGATATATAGCGACTTTGGTGCATCATTTACATGAAATCGGACGAAACTATATATGGGAGCTATATAGAAATCTGAACCGATTTTCTCGAAACTTGGCAGACATCTTTCTAGGCTCAATTCAGTACGTTATGCCAAATTTCGTGCAAATCGAAAGATATATAGCGACTTTGCTGCACCATTTACTTGAAATCGGACGAAACTATATATGGGAGCTATATCTAAATCTGGACCGATTTTCACGAAACTTGGCACACATCATTCTAGACCTAAATGATTAGGCTGTACCAAATTTCGTGCAAATCCAAAGATATATAGGGACCGTTTACATTAAATCGGTTAAATATATATATGGGAGCTATATCTAAATCTGAACCGATTTTTCCCAATTTCAATAGGGTTCGTCCTTGGGCCAAATAAGTGACCTGTGCCAAATTTCATTCAAATCGGATCATAAATGCGACCTGTACTTTGTTTACAATTTAACATCTACAGACGGACGGACGGACGGACATGCATAAATCGACTCAGAAAGTGATTCTATGCATATTCTCAAAAAGAACCATGTGTCTATCTCGTTTCCTTTTGCCTGTTACAAACATATGCACAAAGACATAATACCCTGTACCACAGAGTGGTGAAGGGTATAAACACAAAAAGAAATCTTTGTAGGAAAATTGCAAAGAAAAAGGACGGTCAATGAAAAGAAAAATATTTTCCATTTTACTTTTCATCTTCCTCCTTGGACTAACAAAGGGGAGCAGAAAAAAATTGCAAATATTAAAAATATAAATTCAGTCAACCGCTTTTTGCCCACCCTGCTTCGTAATAAAATACTTTTTTTGACCTTTTAAAGGAAGTTAATATTCAGCATTCATAGCTCTCAAATATCTATAAGATTTGCATGATATTGCAAATTTAGTTTTCTTCTTCTCTTAAATTTAAAATATTCAGATTTCATGCTGAGAAGAAAATCCAAGAAACGGGAGATGGATTCTTTAAGGGGACCCCCATTCTCGGGGTCAATTTTTTTTGATTTAATTTGAATCTACATTCTAATTCAAGAATGTCCCTACAAAATTTCAAGTGAAAATCTCAAGAACCCTTGAAGATATAGCCGATTTAGTGTGTCAGCATCAAGTCGAGAAGCCCGTCTGTCCGTCTGTTCATGTTAAATTGTAAACAAAGTGAAGGTCGCATTAATGATACGAAGTGGTTGAAATTTGGCACAGCTCATTTGTTTGGCCCAAGGACGAACCCTATTGAAATTGTGAAAAAAATCGGTTCAGATTTAGATATAGCTCCCATATATATATTCATCCGATTTTAGGTAATTGGTGCACCAAAGTCTCTGAAAATCATTCGATTTGCACGAAATTTGGCATAGCGTACTGAACTAAGTCTAGAATTATATAAGTTTCATGAAAATCGGTTCAGATTTAGATATAGCTCCCATTTATAGATTCGCCCGATTTTACGTAAATAGTCCACCAAGGTCCCTATATATCTTTCGATTTGCACGAAATTTGGCATAGCGTACTGAACTAAATCTAGAATCATGTGTACAAAGTTTCGTGAAAATCGGTTCAGATTTAGATATAGCTCCCATATATAGCTTCGCCCGATTTTACGTAAATAGTCCACTAAAGTCCCTATATAACATTCGATTTGCACGAAATTTGGCACAGCGTAATGAATAAGGTCTAAAATGATGTATGGTAAGTTTCGTGCAAATCGGTTCAGATTTAGATATAGCTCCCATATATATCTTCGTCCGATTTAAGTAAATTGTGTACCAAAGTCCTTATATTTCTTTCGATTTGAATTTAGTCTAGAATGACGTGTGCTTAGTTTCGTGAAAATCGGTTCAGATTTAGATATAGCTCCCATATATATGTTCATCCGATTTTATGTAATTGATGCACCAAAGTCTCTGAAAATCATTCGATTTGCACGAAATTTGGCATAGAGTACTGAATTAAGTCTAGAATGACGTGTGTTAAGTTTCGTGAAAATCGGTTCAGATTGAAATATAGCTCCCATATATATATTCATCCGAATTTAGGTAATTGGTACACCAAAGTTTCAGGTCTTTTGCCGGATAAGCATAGACTTTGTGATTTCTCGGTTCAGTTTATTTGGAAACTCGTAAGCCAATCAAACAGCCATGGGTAAGGAAAAGACTCATATTAACATTGTCGTCATTGGCCACGTCGATTCTGGTAAATCTACCACCACCGGTCACTTGATCTACAAGTGCGATGGTATCGACAAGCGTACCATTGAAAAATTCGAAAAGGAAGCCCAAGAAATGGGTAAGGGTTCCTTCAAGTACGCCTGGGTTTTGGATAAATTGAAGGTCGAACGTTAGCGTGGTATCACCATCGATATTGCCTTGTGGAAATTCGAAACATCCAAATACTATGTCACCATTATTGATGCCCCTGGTCACAGAGATTTCATCAAGAACATGATCACTGGTACCTCTCAAGCTGATTGCGCTGTCTTGATTGTTGCTGCCGGTACTGGTGAATTCGAAGCTGGTATCTCCAAGAACGGTCAAACCCGTGAACACGCCTTGTTGGCCTTCACCTTGGGTGTGAAGTGAAACAGTTGTTTCGGTTCAGATTTAGATGTAGCTCCCATATATATGTTCGCCCGATTTTATGTAACTGGTGCACCAAAGTCCCTGTATATCTTTCGATTTGCACTAATTTTGGGCTCCGTGAAAAGATCCATAGCTAGGCCGATTGACACACCGTACTGAAGTAATATAAATTAGTCTCTGACAAGTTTCCCTGAAATCGGTTCAAATATAGATATATAACAAACACGCGACGTCTGTTAGGATACATATGTAGAATATACCCAAAGTGTTGAAGGGTATCATATAGTCGGCCCGATTCCGATTTTACTACTTTCCTTACTGGTTTCATAAATATTTTTTCAGGGCCTATACAAGGCATGAATTTTTTAAAGAATATTTTTCTATACAAGGTGTGGCGTTTTTAAAGAATATTTTTCAAGGGCCTGTATAAAGCGTGGCGTTTTTAAAGTATATTTTAAAGGATCTATACATGTCGTGGCTTATTAAAAAATTGTATTCAATGTATTTCCCCTCCATCTGAATTCTGAATTTTTCTTTCCCACTAACTTTGTTTCTCTTTTTTACTCATTTTCTATGCAAATTTTGTCGAAATAATATCAAGAAGAGAAATAGAAAACAACGGAAGCTGGTCTATAAATGAAAACCATAAATTAGGTGGTGGTATTTAGCTGTGGCGAATATTATTGCCTTCTGCTGTTAAGGCGGGGGCTGACTTTTCTTTCAAGATTCCTTCCTACCTTCATTAGTGAAGAACGCAAGTTTTTTTCCCCGAAAGAAGAAGAAAATATGTTTTTTTCTTCTATCTTGGGGAGAATATAAAACAGTCAGATAGTCAAGTCGTTTTTTATTAGTTTTCTTCCACGTATTTTTTAAGAGTTTTTAAGCTCTATTTAATGAAGTGATGTTTATGGGTAACAATTGACTTTCGACCTTCTTAGTTAGAGGAGGTGGAGGAGGTTGTCTTGCTGGGGGGAGAAATTACAATCAGTTCAAATACATGTTGTGGTATTCGGGGTTTTTTATCTAACTACTCTCCAGGGCTGATTTCCATGGAAATATGTTATTTTTGTTGGTATTTTATTGGTCTATAAACATTATTTTATTTCTTTTTGCGTGGGCGTTTTTTTATGGTTGGTATTTATTTTGATAATATTTTTGTTATTAATGCCTGTTGGGGGAACTGGTGTTTGACTATCATAAAATATGGAAGGGATTTTCCATATAATTACAAGAGCTTAAGAAAATATTTTTTTCGAAGATCCATCAGAAGCGTGTATTTCTGCAAAATCTACATTAGGCATGGATTTTTAACGGACACAAGGTGTGGCTTTCAAAAATATATAAGGTTTGGTGGTTTAAAAAATATTTTTAAGGACTAATTTTAAGGAATATTATTAAGAATCTATAAGGAGTGTGCTTTTAAATAAAATATTTTTCAAGGACTTATAATGCGTAAGGGTTTCAACGATTTTTTTTTTCAAGGACCTATAAGGCGTGGATTTTTAAAAAAGAATTTTTGGATAAAAAAAAAATATTTCTTAAAGGTCCTTCCTTAGGCGTGGATTAAAAAAAACATTCTTTTAAGCCCTTTCTTAAGCGTGGATTAAAAAAAATCATTCAAGGCCCTCTCTTAGGCGTGGATTAAAAAAAATATTCATTCAAGGTCCTTCATTAGGCGTGGATTAAAAAGCATTCCTTCAAGCCCTTTCTTAAGCGTGGATTAAAAAAACATTCCTTCATGGACATACATCAGGCGTGTGTTTGAAGAAAATATTATTTCAAGGTCATATAGGGCGTGGATTAAAAAAATATTCTTTCAAGGACCTACATCAGGGGTGTATTTAAAAAAAATATTCAATGTCCTACCTCCGGTGTGTATTAAAATGTTTTTAGGGACCTACATCTGGCGTGGATAAAGAACATATTTTTCCAGTACCCACATAAGTCGTGGATTTGTACTTGGATATTTTTCTAAGGATACTATAAAGATTAAGAAAATACTTATAGATTCCCTCATAAAATTCCCCATTCTCACACACACCCACATATTTACCATATCACCCTATCTCCGATCTTCTTCTTATATTCATACCCTTCACCCCACTGTGGTACAGGGTATTATGTCTATGTGTATGTGTTTGTAACAGGCAAAAGGAAACCATGGTTCCTTTTGAGAATATGCATAGAATCAGTTTCTATGACCATTTATGCATGTCCGTCCGTCCGTCTGTCTGTCCATGTTAAATTGTAAAAAGTACAAGTCGCATTTATGACTCGAATTGGATGGAATTATTTGGCCCAAGGGCGACGTAAGTGGCCCTATATATCTTTCGATTTGCACGAAATTTGGCATAGAGTAATAAATTAGGTCTAGAATGATGTGTGCAAAGTTTCGTGAAAATCGGTTCAGATTTAGATATAGTTCCCATATATATATATATATATATATATATTTTCGTCCAATTTAATGCAATTGGTCCACCAAAGTCCGTATATATCTTTCTATTTGCATGAAATTTGGCATAGCGTAATGAATTAGGTCTAGAACGATGTGTGTTAAGTTTCCTGAAAACCGGTTCAGATTTAGATATAGCTCCCATATATATTTTCGTCCGATTTAAGGTAAATGGTGCACAAAAGTCCCTTAATATCTTTCGATGTGCACGAAATTTTACACAGCGCAATGAATTAGGTCTAGCATGATGTGTGTTAAGTTTCTTGAAAATCGGTTCAGATTTAGATATGGCTCCCATATATATTTTCGTCCGATTTAATGTAAATGGTGCACCAAAGTCCTCATATACCTTTTGATTTGCACGAAATTTGGCACAGCGTACTGAATTAGGTCTAGAATGATGTTTGTTAAGTTTCCTGAAAATGAGTTCACATTTAGATATGGCTCCCATATATATTTTCGTCCTATTTAATGTAAGTGGTGTACCAAAGTCCCTATATATCTTTCGATTTGCACGAAATTTGAAATATCATACTGAACTAAGCCTGGAATGATGTATGTTAAGTTTCGAGAAAATCGGTTCAGAATGAAGCCTAGAGTGATGTGTTTTAATTTTCGTGAAAATCGGTTCTGATTTCGATATAGCTCCAATATAAATTTTCGTCCGATTTTATGTAAATGGTGCACCAAAGTCCCTATATATTCGTCGATTTTCACGAAATTTGGGATAACGTAATGAATTGAGTCTAGAATAATGTGTGGTAATTTTCGGAAAAATCGGTTCAGATTTATATATATCTCCCACATATGCATATATATTCGTCCGATTTTACATAAATGGTGCACCAAACTCGTAATATTTGTCCGATTAACACGAAATTTTTCACAACGTATCAAATTAACATCCTGTTTTTGTAAGATTCCAAACGAACGAATTCGAGTGACTTACGACCAAACCTTTATTTATGTTTATAAATGTTTTCTGATTCAAAGCAAAAATAAATGACATATTTTTCAAAACCAAGGAGTTTGGTCGTAAGTCACTCGAATTCGTTCGTTTGGAATTTTACAAAAACAGGCTGTAAGACTTGATTGACGTTATTGGGTTTTGTTGAAATTAGTGCAGATGCCGCCATAGCTTTCATATGTATTTTGAACGGTTGTTTGATTGAAATAATTTTTTTAATAGTGCGGCGTACCGAATGGCGTGTATCAGACTACTCTAAATCTGCCCGAATGAAATTAAATATATCATAGGTTACAGAAATCATAGGGAACAATGGCATACAATTATAAGATAATATATATTCAATATACCCAAAGTGGTGAAGGGTATCACATAGTCGGCCCGGTCTGACTGTACTACTTTCCTTACTGGTTTAATTATACTTTTCAATGGCTTACAGATGGCGTGGATTTTTAAAATAATATTTTTTCAAGGACCTATAAGACGTTGAAAATGTCCCTAGCCTTTACTTTTTTTTAACTTCTAACAAATCTCCTTCTTATATATTTTTTTTAACTTCTTCCTTATTGTCATCAACCATCTCTCCAGCACGACCATTCACTTGCACATGTTCTACTCGCCTCTCTCTCTGTCTCTCACACACCCACAATGAAAATAATTTGAAAACTACATAAATTATCCTTGCACTTCTGATTCCATTTGGTGTCCTTTGCACATTTATGTGCATATTCCCTGTTTGTGAATGCTAGTTTGATTATAGTTTGTTTTCTTTTGTAGAAAACAGAACCATTCATTTCATTTGGTCTTCATTCGCTTTTCGTTTGTGTGTGTCTTTGGATTTTTAGTTTTCCTTATTTTGCACATTAAAGTTGTTTTCCTTCTCCCATTTGGATAAATAAGTTTGCAAAATATCTCCTTAACGAGTCCTTTTGAAGAAGAAAAAAAAAGAGTAGAAAATAAACTGATGGTTGTTTTTCTTTGGTATTGGGGAAATTCCTCTGTTTTCAAATGGAAGTTTCGTACACTGAGAGTAGAAGGATATCAACATAAAGGATATGGGAAACAATTTTAAGATGGGAAATTATAAACGTGAACTATTTAAGGTAAATTATTAAATTATTTTTCTAAGGACTATGCTAGGCGTGGATTATTTTAAATACGATTTTCTACAGACTATTATAGGTGCGGATTATTTTAAATTATTTTATTAAGGACTAAGGACTATTAAATGCGTAGATAATTTTCAATTACTTTTCTAGGGCGAGGATTATTTTAAATTCGTTTTTCTAAGGACTATTACGGGCGTGGATTATATGAAATTCGTTTTTCTAGGGGCTGTTATAGGCGCGGACAGTAGCTATGCGTAATGCGAAGGAGAACTATCGGGAGAAAAGGAGAGAGGAGTAACGTATTTTCTGAAAAAAGAAGAAAGAGCAAGAAAAACGTGAGCATGAGCAAATCGAGATGTACAGGAGTCAGAATGAAGTACGAAAATTCTACCAAGGGGTAAAACACCAAACCGAAGGCTTTGATGCTGGCACATCCTCCTGTAGAGATGAAGAAGGAAACCTGGTGACA